TATATATATATATATTGCATTACAGCAATGAGAATGTTGGGAATTTAAAATAAAAACTCAATTTAGGGTGAAATTTGACCTGGACATTTTTTTTTCACTCTGTTAGAAGAAAAAAAATGCAAGATGCATCACTACCAAACAGATTAATTTGCATGTTTGTTCTAATTGGTCTATATTAATGCCAATAACTCATACTTTTCTAATGAAAAAAATATATACATATAAATGTCTAAGGCAATTTAGAGTTTCAATTGTCAGCACAATACTTATTAAAATGTTTTTTTTTTTTTTTAATTGAGCAGATGTTTCTACTGAGCCAAATAACATCCTGAAGCTGTCTTCTTTCTGAGCCACTAAGCGCCCCCTGTAGGAAGCAACATATTTGCCTATAAAAAACCTGCTACATCATTCATCTGGTTTCCAGTTCACTGAATACTTCCTGTCATCTCCCAAAGTGTACATAGCAAGCAAGCTAATGCTCTGATAGTCACACCTTTCAACATTACATGAAGATCACCATTCGGCACCTCCCAGCTAAGAGAGCAGTGAAAAGGAATATTGCACTTGTAACAGCACAGAATCCTGGGAAAGAAATTTACTTTTGACCTTTGCACTAACAGTGCTTTTTACTACTATTAAGACATTCACATTCACATCACACTTTGCATTTGCATTGTCAGTGCACAGCACAATGATTACAGGTAGTTTAAATAGTTCAATACTGAAGAAAAAGTGTATATCTTCAATGTTTACCTTCGAACAGCAAAAATGGATTTGGCAATCAATGTAAACATGAGAAGCAGTGCTCTGAATTGGTGCTTAATGTCAACAATGAATCCTACAAGAGGACTATATATATATATACCACTAGTGATTTTCTCTTTCTTTTATGACATTTTTGAGAACAATAAACATCGCTTTGACACTTGGGAGAAAATAAAAATGCAGGCTTGCTGGATCGGGACCTAAATTGAGGAAATAATCAATGAGTAAATCCTACGTCTTAAAAGAAAACAATAATACTACAACACCTGCATCTAATTTTAGCCCATTATCTTCATATTACTCTTGCTTTATACAATTTCTCACTCGAATGGCCATGCTTGTTCCCTACAGAACCCCTGCTGAAGCTGCCATTATTCACAGATTAATTAGTGGATTTGAGAGCAAGCGAGAGAAAGACAGAACTCAAATAGGACCGAAGGAATGGACTTAGTAAGAAGGCTATGAAATAATCGGCCAGATATTGTCATGCAACAGGTAGATATGAATGTGCGGCACACTGGAGAGTGTCTGAATCTGCTGGTGATCACCTTCTAGCCCTTGGGTCACAATTATCGCTACAAACAGCAACTACCAGGCCAAAATCTAACTGTAAACCTTCTAAACATACACAAAACAACCATTTATAAACCATGTGTGTCATAAACACTCATTGTACAATTAAAATCAACACAAAAACACCATTTATGTTGACAATGAGACCTTTTCTTTGAAATTTATCCACGATTAATTTTTCTGACCAGGAAAATGTATAAAGAATGTAAATATGGCCAGTTCTGTTTTCACGTTGACTTTAACTAAATTATTAGCTTGAACTATAACTGGTTTGTAAAGCTAGCAATAAGTCATTGTGCCATATTGCTATGAGTTTGCCATTTTCAGTAGCGCTGTTCACTGGAGAGTTATTTGTCTCAACAAGAGAAATCATCTCGAAGGGTAAAATGTTTGTGGTGGCTGTTCATTTTTGTCTAGCAAAGGCATTTTCAGTGTTATTTGTCTTCATTTACATTGCTTGCCAAATACTTCATGGCAGAGCTACCGTTCATATCAGAAAAAATAAAAATGGTTGCCCTTCAGCTGTCCACCCACAAACCCGTGCACAGGATATGCCTTTGTTTTTAATGTTTTTGTTATTTATCTCTTTCTCAGTGTGTCTTTGAAATATCAGTTTCCAAAATCCAAATACGTTTTAACAAGTCTGTGCATTATTTGTGTTAGGGGTCAAGAAAGGATACTGAATAGCAAGATGGATTTGTGGGGGAATACATTAGTCTTGGCATTACTGTTGATGTAAGTTTATGTGCCAAAGAATTAAAAAAATCAAACATATGGGGTTTATTACTCAATAAAAAGAAATACGACCTCAATATCACTCAGTTTGGAAATCAAGCATTAGTCAAGCAAGTTTGCAAGGCACTATTCTTTGTAAAGCTGCTTCTTCTAAAGGGAAGATAAATATATTTCATATCAGGTGAGCACTTGATATGAAAACCACAGGAAGTTGAAACAACTCAGAACTGGTTGTTGTTGTTGTTTTTTTTACATCTAGCAAACCATCGTGCTGTTCAAGCTTAAATCAAAGAGACAGTGTTGAATGCACAATATGTTTTTACCGTCCAATTAATTGCATTTTAGGAGTCAGTTGGTAACACAGTGTTATAAGATCAGACATCCTGCTCCTTCCCCTTACATGTGTTGCGCTAAAGGAAGCCAGAAATAGATTTGAGCGAGTTAGCAGCATTAGCGTGAGACTGTCACGTATGACAACTGGTACTAGTTGCATATTATACAGGGTTCTCAGGAACGTTTGGTGACTAACTTCTTACTAATTGGCCACAAAAAAAAGTTTGATTCTCTCCTTCTGCTGGCTAACAAGAACTTCTTCAGGCAAAATCACTCCAGTCACTCCAGCGATTGAATAATCAGATGGCTTTAACATAGTGATATATTTGTTTTTCATAATCATGTTCAAATATGTTAAAGATACTGTTGTTATAAGCTGTATGTCTTTAATACACAGTCTTATAAGCAATCACCAATACACATGAATATGCATAAACATATTTACATGCTCATAGATCAACAATACAATAACAAATGCTAGTGCGCACCAACTTACAAAACTGCACGACCCAAAACCCATAGCATTCTTCAACTCTGGGTTCTGTGAATTTGTGATATACCGACAGCCACCGTTAATCCTCATTTCCATTTGCATAATAAAAAATCATTATAAACTACAGCTGTTTCTTTATTCATAAAGTACCTAAGGGAAGAAACTTCTGGCCTACTCAATTATTCCTTATACTGCAATGACACTGAATACATAATGAAAGTAATCTTTTTACTTTGCCTAGTGTTAAGTTTCCCTGTATACCTACTGAGAATGAAAAAGACCATATATACTGAAGCTACTGAATATGCTATTCATACAGCACAACTCTTGGAAAATTCAATTAACGGATACGATAATGGCAGCAGCTCTGAACCACAATGATTGAGTTCTGCTGGTGGGACATACTGAAGTTCATTCCCCTGAGGTTACAGTCTCCTCATATCCGTCCTGAAAGTTTCCACTGGTTGACTGTCATCTCACTAATAAATGTGTCGAATAAATGTTAGTGAGCACAGTGTTTAAATTAGAAAATGCCCTCAGATTTTACCTGAAGGCAAGAAAACATCTGCTCTGACAAGCGAGGGAGAGAAAATATAATGGGGAAGAGAAATTGCATCTGAAATGTAGTTGCTCTGATGTGATATGCTGTACAGGAGAATTGTGGAAAATGCTCATTATAGCTCATTGCAAAGTAGTCATTAGTAAATTATCACAATACACAAAGAAAGACAGAAAGAAAGAAAGAAAGTTCACTTAATATTATAATGGATTAGTATAAACTAAATGTTTTGTAGAACAATTAACCCATTTAATCTAACCAGTCACATTTGTTATTAAAATTGTGTGCTAAAGGGTCTAAAACAGTTATCAGTGTATTATTAATAATAATTATTATTAACAGACCCTTTACATATTATATCAGGATAACTCTGTCTCAAATGACATATAAACATGTAAGCGGCCTGATAGAAAACAAAAAGCCTCATGTGTGAATAAGTGACTGAGTCTCATTAAAAATTTGAGATTTAAAATTAAACAAATAAAATAAAAAATCATTATTTCCTTGGTTTGCAGAATTGCCTAAAAATTGTATTCAATTATGTTTGCACATTTCTATTGGGTATTATTAATAGCGTCTCATGGGGCCATACAAAGAGTAAAATGCTTGAGTTTACAAAGCTGATAATAATTTGAGATTAAATGGGTTAAATAACCACCAATGATGCAGAAATTGGAGTGCAATATGTATATAATGTTATTACAACTTATTGTGGCTCTGTATGAAAAGGGTTTCATTCTGTTTTCTCACAAAGTTTCTCACGAAGTGTTTCAGGTAACAAACATGACCTTTGCATCACCTAAAAATATCCCTGCTGAAAAAATAAAAAAATAAAAACATCCAGCCAGCCTAAGCTGATGTAATGTCTTAGCTGGTTTGAGATGGTCTCATAGCCTGGCCAAACTGGTGTTTAGCTGATTTATGCAGTCGGCAAGCTGGTCCTCTAGCCTGACCATCTTAAATGCTACTAAAATCCCTCTAAAATCAGCAAACACACAAATATAAAGGGCCAAATATAAAGGGCATTTAACCTGGTTTAAAGAGCAAGGGACACCAAAGCAAAACAGTTAACTCTTAACATTCAAAATCGTGAGTAGCTGCTGGTGAGCCAACATCTCATATCACAAACAATCATACTGTCATACTGTAAGTGTGCACAGGAAAAGTGTTGCACACGAAAGTGTACTTCATTTTGCCTTGGTTAATTAAAGCCAGATCAGTTTAAAAAAAAAAACTGGCGTGAAACGCATATGAAGCAATCACTTGGACATCAACAATGGACATCTGTTCGTCTCTGCGCCCCAAATCCCTCACACACAGCCTTTACACACACGCGCACCTTCGGACACTCATTTAGATCAGAATGGGGGGATATTGCTCTGAAAATTCTCAACAGGGGTTTTCAGCTTTAGCAAATAACTGCGTGTATTTTTTCCACTTACGCTGCTGTTTTGGCCGGACCAGTGCACCATGGCTTGGTTGTGAGCGGAATCCCCTGTCAGCGCAAAGGTAGAGCTGGTAAGTTTCAGCTCCTCCTGTCGCGATGTGGCCGTTCTCCGCTCTTCCCGGTTCCATGTCAGCTCAGAGCGGGGGACTCTCCGCGCAGCCCGCGCGGCGCTGTTGCCAAAAGGCAGCGAGCGCGCACCTGGAGGCGAGTCGGGTCCCTGGGTGCTTCTACGCACTCGGTGATGGGGATCTCCAGGGGCTGAACCGTGTGAACCTGGACGTTTGAGGTTATAAACTTTGCCATTACTGCGCATCGACTTCCATTTATCATCGCGTGGCATTTTCTCCGAGCGGAGCCTGTCTGTATTCCTTTTACGCACAAAGTGAGCGTGTTTGCAGTTGTCGGTTGCGCCGCATTCGGGTTGACCAGTTTCAGCACCAGCCGAATTAAACAGCGCCATTGACCCGTCTCCATTTTTGTCACTAACTTTACCAAAATCGACACCACTGTCCATCCTCACCAGTAATTCTCGACCGCTCCACTTATCCAGCAGGTGACATGACCTGCAAGTTATCACTGTTTTGGTCACCGGAACCCAAGCGAACAAAAGCAAAAGCAGGGTGCAGAAAGCATTAACCCGGTAATATCTGATTCCTCTCTCCATCGCGGATACAATACGATACAGTGTCCTTTCCCTCTCTTTAGCGTCAGTTATTAATGGAATGAAGTCCTCATACAAGTTGCAGCGCGGTGAAGCAGCCACAGTTGAGATGTTGTGGAAAAGCGCGATTCAGCGAAGCGCTCCAACTTGAAGGATTTGATCAAACGAAGCTCTCCACGCACTAAGGGGAGGAGCTCGGGGGACTACAGAGGAGAGCAAGACCATAAAGACACGATTCTTTCCAGTGCCACAACATTCATATTCACCCAGGCATGTTCCAACAATGCTTCGTGCAATAAAACATAATACGGACGCAATTTGAGCGCTTTTGCTCGTCGCATTGCTTCTCAGTGACGGAACTTTTAGACGTAGAGAAAATTAATCTGAGTACATTTGAGTACATTTTGTCACTGGTAATTCGCGTATTAATAGCCCGAGAGACAATTATGACGTTTATCTGGATGTGGGAATTATTAAATACTAATAGCTGTAGGCTACGCGAATTGAATGACTTGTTCAATTAATTTCTTTCAGCAATTGTTTCGCGGCTTGTTTAGCAACCGAATTTTCAAAGAGCTTCTAAACACTTTTTTTTAGTGGAAGTCGATTTTTTTTTAGTGGTGTACTTGTATGTAAATGTGATATAATGTCACTTAATTTTCATCTATGTACTGTCCGTCATAGATCTAAAGCGCTCGATTTGCGAAGTTTTGCTGTGGTTTGCTCAAGCGAACCCTACTTTTGTTCTTGTGCATCTATTTAGTGCTCCGAGCGTTGTTTGAAAACACGGTTGAAAATGAATACCCCATAAACTCCCCATAATTAGAAACGGATATAAAGATGTACCTAATAATTTCTATTCAACGTTCATTTGATGTTCACGCACGTCTCGGGACAATTCACATTCTCCACAGCATCCTTTGGATCGATGGGCGAATTGCAAATGGATCTGATGCGCATCAATCAGGTTTTTGTGTCTAGCTCCAATTCCAAGACAGCAAACTTAACACCTGAACTATAACCAACTACAAGGCAGACCTCAAAAATAGTACCCAAAGACAAGTAAATGTTTTGTTGTAAAATGCTGATTATGTGCTTATGCTGAAAGCAATCCATACCTGATCTACCATACAGCTGCAGATGCCTCCTTTCATGCCTTTGGGCTCAGAATCTCAGTTTCTTAATAAAGTAATATTGCCAACTACTGACCTGGCATGCATAATACAGGGTTTCTGTTTTGACAGCATTGTCATCTGTATGCGAAACTTTGCAAAAATGCAAATGAAAAACTTTTCAGTTTCTAGTACACTGTTTAGTACATTGCTGCTGTGCATAATGGTGAGTACTGCAGGAAAGGAGACCTGAATGCATGCATGAATGAATGAATGAATGAATTAATTAATTAATGAATGTCAATGGAGGAGAGGCTTCCCTACGGGGAATAAGCTGCTTTTGTGGGAAATCTTGCTTTTGTCTGCAAGGCACTGGGCCTAGAACTGCAGTTGACAGTGTGATAGTGACAATTTGTCATCATAGGCTGATAATGTAAAATATTTTTCATATAGCATTTTTTTAATATAAATAACCACTGTATTATTCTTCTTTTGGTAAATGCATTTTGAAGCTCCAGTTTTAATACAGGCAAATTCCACAAATGAATCTCTGAGCAGTCATTGTGTGACTACTTTAAACATGCTTTACAACAAATCTCTTCTCCCTTAGAGTTCAGATATTTTGCCTTTCCTCTTCCAAAATACTTATTTAATCATCTTGAACAAAAATTTTAATTACAAAACATGGGTTTTGACTCAAAATACGAGACAGATTCAAGGATTCTGAAAAAAAAGAAAGAAATGATGTGATTGTAGACCAAATTACCTTAGCCCGAACTTTAAAGTTCAAGCAAATTTTGAAGTTCATAGCAACAAGCAGGTGTTTAGTATATAATATATTATGCATATATTAATTGTTTGTGCATGTTACTCTCCTTCTCTGTCTGTCCATGTGCCCTTCCTCTATGAGTTAAATCCACCGCCTTGTCATTCTAAAAGCATTAAAATGACTAACAGCTAGACAGGCCTAGACTCACAGTATTAAATAGATATATTGGATTGGATTAATAGCACAGCTATGGACAGGCCTCCAGAGATGAGAACACACTCATCACTTTCTCTCATTCTCTTTCTCTCCCCCTCTCTCTCTATAGGTGCTCGAGAAGACTTCATGGTCCATCATCTTATATCCCGCCTGCAAATCAAAGAAATCAATGCTATTTAAATGTAATCCACCCGACACATGACCAGGCTATCTGTTAAAACCAATGAGGATATTTGAAGGCCTTGTTCTTTGAGCTTCGAGCAGGTGAAAGTGATATAAACTCTTGGCACATAATAGCATTTCCTGGAACAGATCTCTCAGATTCCTACAAGATATCCAACGGACAGAGGGCAGAATGTCACTGCTGGTTTCGGATCTGTTGGAGTTTTTTTTTTTTTTTTTGCTTGCAGTCAACTGGTTTGACTGAGACAAGCAACGTCTTTCGGGAAAACCAGACACTTCTGCTGGTATTTGTCAAATTTGCACTTAAGCAGATGACTTAAGCAGTCATCAATCCGAACAAGTTCTTCTGTTCTGCCAGACAGTTTGTGCGAATGCACAGAATCCTGGGAGTGAAAGTTTCAAGTTTTAGTTTCATGTCAAATTAGGCACAGGTTTCAGCCTGCAAAAAGACTGACATGTTGTCATCCGTGTTCCCAGGGCAACAGCCAAGGATGGCTATAACTGGAACAGTCACGGATCATGAAAGCCAAAAATGGCGACAGAGCTTGCATATTTGATTGGTGCTCAAAGCAAGGATGTGGTTTTAGTCAAGGCTGCCAATGACTTGTGCAGCAGCAACAGTTGAGAGACTAATAATTAGCTAACAGATGACTCACAGAGGCTTTGTATCAAAGGAGGAAACTGAGAACAAAGCCAAAAAAAAAGAACAACATACCAGCCAACCACCCAAGGGTAAGCTCTATCTGCTGTAAAACCTTTAGCTCTCTTGTCCCAAAGTGATCGTTCTTTTAATGGAGCTATTTCCTCACATTATTTGGTATTCTTTCTCTGTAAGGTCCAGTGGGAAGGTCAGGAGCAATCGCAGAGCTGGAACTCATAGTGTAATATTTAAACAGAGTTCAGACTCTTGATACTTGTGCTCTCTCACACTCGAATAATTCATAAAAAAATTACATAGCAGTATATTGCCATAGATAGCTACACTATAGGTATAGGTTAGTGTTTAGGTTTTGTTTAGAATCATGTCATGCATCTGGGAAAAATGGGCATTTAAATGCTTTGGGCAATTACTTGAAATTCAGTTCATGCTTGTCAATAAAATCAGTGAGGAAAGATCAAATCAAAATTCTACAAATAAGGCAGATGCAATTTGCACCCTGGTGTAAATAGTGGCAAATGGCATTTGGAACATGTTGTAAATAACAAAATAAAATATTTGCATTTCGTATTAAAAAATAAATACAAAAATATGGCACCATATGTTTATATAATATTATATTTTATACATTTAATTTTATTTAATTTAAAGCATGTCAGGCATTAGCAGATGTATGTGTACAGTTTGCCACACAAAATGCAAACAGTTTATGTATTATGCATTAAGGGAGGAAGGAAAAAATAATGGAAGGAAGGGATGAAGGAAAGAAGGAAGGGAGAGAGGGAGGAAGGAAGGAAGGAAGGAAGGAAGGAAGGAAGTGAGGGAGGAAGGAAAGAAGGGAGGGAGGAAGGAAATACATAAAAGTAATTGTGAATTTTTTTATCACAGTCCAGACTTTTGAATTGTCAGTAAAATGAGAAATAAATTCAAAATGGCAAGAAATAATGTCAGAATTGTGAGATATAAACTCACATTTCTGAGAAGAAAGCTAATAATTATGAAATAAAAAGTCACAATTAACTTTTTTTTTTTTATTATTATTATTAATAGTAGTAGTAGTAGTAGTAGTATTCCATGACAGAAACAACAAAAAAATGAAAAAAATACCAAGACTGAATTGTAAATGTAAAGTCAGAATTCTGAGAAAACAAAATGTTAGAATTGCAAAATTTAAACTCAGAATTCTGAGGGGAAAGGTATAATAATAAATATAACTTACATTTACAAGTTGTATGTGCAATTTTGAGATAAAAACGTGCAATTCTGAAAAAAAAAGAAATAAGCTACCAGTTTCTCCAAATGAACAGCTTAAAACCTCCTGACTACCAGGAAAAAAACTGTTTTGTGAATTCAGTATTTTGGCATGTCATTACATTGTTTAGAGCATAAGAAAAAATGTGAAAAATAAAATTTTTGAAAAATGATATTTTATTCATGTTATGCCATGTCCTCTGTAGAAGACATCGGGACTTTAAAAAGTCTTGTTTTTTAAGAAATAAAAAGACATGAATAGGCATGAAAAGGCATAAACAGTGGGGTTTTTGTTTTAATCACAGATCAGTTTTCATTTTTTATACCAAACTTTACATAAAGACGATTCTCAACTATGTTATGAAAGATATTTAAAAAAAAACATTTTTCTTTATGCAAAATGTGTGTAAAATGGCCATAAACAAGTTTTTCCATTATATACAATGTATCTATAAACTGTATCTAATTTGCATATTAATGTGTTTTTGGGGCAAAATAGAATGAAAAAATAAGTGCAATAATGGTAATAATTAGTAAGATTTTCATAATAATATCTAATATTTAATAGGAATATTGATACATAATTTTTTCTCTATTCATTTGTTGTGTCTCCCAAAATGTGTATTAAACATGCTTTAAGTCCTGGTGTCCTCTACAGTGGACATGTATGAAATCGACGTCCTGTTTCATAACAGAAGGTCATATTTTGATTTGAAACCCCATAACATTTTCCTGAGATGTTGATTTATGACAAACAATTTGAAAATTTGTCAGATTTAAATGATAATTACAAAATATTATCATATTTCCATAAGGGTGTTACTTGATCACTAAATTAATGTCAGCCATTTCTAAAGCCCAAGGAGACAGAGTGGTCATGGTGAAACATCCAATCATTTGGTATCTCTGAAAAGCCCTGAATGTGCTCTGTACAGGACATCCAGACTTAAAACTGTGACATGTAA